CTGATACCATGACAAATTCTTGTTTAGGATCAAAAGTAAGTTGATTTTATTGATGAATAAGCTTGGTTTATATACCAAGATAAGCTAAGTCATAACAGGAAAATCATAAAGAACCTAAATAGAATAGGAAAAACATATTAAAGCTTATCTAAATCTAGTTTATATGATTCCTAATTGATATAGGAATCATACTCCAATACAAAAACTTTGCTTACGATGGCGAGAAGACTTTATTCACTGTTGGTCCTCTTCCCCAAGAAGAACTAGACTTCTCTGTCGTTCTTGAAGACAAGTCTTCTAGCAAAAGCAAAACCAAAACGTTCAATGTTGTAATCAGATTTGCTACAAAAATCTCAAGCCGAGATATCAAAAGTATTCTTCAAGGAGACGAACCAAATGAGCTTAAAGATGCTGTAAGAGCAATGGATGCTATCTTGCGCCAGAATGCAGCTACAAGGTTTGTTGTATACAATTTTCTTCATCTTTTTTTTTTTCTTTATATTTTCATGTTAAATTACAATTTTCTTGACTTTCTTTTTGCAGAAATTGTCTTCTTGTTCGTCAATCTTTCTTCGACACTAAGTACTTATTAGACCACTTTGAAGGTGTTCAGCCATGCAGAGGATTCCATTCAAGCTTCAGACCTACTCAGAACGGCTTATCCCTCAATATGGGTAACTCATTTTTCATCATATTATCTCTAATGTTCAATCCAAAATCATTTTTGTAACATTTTTTTTTTGGTTTGTTTTTCATCAGATGTTTCTACTACGTTGTTAGTAAGAGCTGTTCCTGTTATTAATTTCCTTGTTGAAAATCAAAGAGTGAACCGTCCATCCCTTATCGACTGGAAAAAGGTACTTAATTCAAAATGATATGCTTAAGGCTTTTAATTAACTATTTGATTTTGTTCTCTTTTGTGAAGGCTGAACGTACTCTCAAGAATCTTAGAGTTAGACTCTCCCACTCAAAACAAGAATGCAAGATAACTGGAATAAGTAAACTTTCATGCAGACAGGAAAAGTATGTTCTGAACTAATATATATTTTGTTCATATGCTTTAAATTGCTTTTGATTTGTTTATAAGTTACCTTTCTTTACTTTACTTTACTTATAGGTTTATTAGGAAGCAAAATCAAGCAAACGGGGTCGATAAGAAGGTTGAGGTTACAGTGTATAATTACTTCACTAAACTCCTTCGAATTGAACTGCGTGATTCAGGTGACTTGCGTTGCATCAATGTTGGTAAGCTAACACGTCCTACTTACATTCCCATTGAGGTAATTGTTTTTCTTCTTTGTTTGTCTATTTACATATGTTGTTCTCATTACATTTTTCATTCTGTGGTGATGAAAATGAATATACTTGTGTGTTATATTTTTTAAACATTTTCAGCTCTGTGAGCTTCTTCCTCTTCAACGCTATACAAAAGCTCTTACAAGTTCCCAGAGGAGTAAAATGGTCACGGCGTCAGAACAGAATCCAAGAGATAAGCTGAATATGTTAAACGAGGTAAGGTCTTTACAATTTTTCGTTTATGCTCTAATTTTTCTTTTGATTCTTATTCTAACATTCAAGTTCCATTTGCAGGCTTTGCAGGGAATTAAATATAATGATGACCCTATGTTAAAAGAATGTGGTGTCCGTATTAGCTCTAACTTCACTGAAGTGGAAGGCCGCATATTAGCAGCACCAAAACTGCTGAAAGCAGGCAATGGACTGAACCTTTTCCCTAAAGATGGGCGATGGAATTTCAGGGGCAAGGTCACCTTTCTTCTGCTATAGCTATTAAGTTCATAAAAATGTTTGACAAATACTAATTCAAAGTTTCTTCTGCAGGAATTTGCTGAGCCGGCTACATTCCCTAGTTGGGCTGTTGTGAACTTCTCTCGGGGTAATCCACACAGCCTTGTTGATGCTTTAATCAAACTTGGAAGGGAGAAAGGAATGGTAAGATCTTTTTACTATAAAGAACACCAATCATTGGTTTAACTTTTCTATATAATTTTTTTTTTTTTTAATCTCAGAAAATACCTCCTTCGTATGAAGTCTTTGAAGAAGACAATCAGTTAAAGTCTGAAACTGGTACTATAAGAGTGCAAAAAATGTTTGAGTCTATGAAAAAACAATTCAATGGTGCCCCACCACCAAACTTCATTATCTGTATACTCTCAGAAAGGAAAAACTCTGATGTTTATGGTAACACAACACTAAGCACTTACTTTCAACATTACTTGAAATATATATAGTCTGAACTTCTTCTTTTTTCTTTTTCCTGTTCTCATGACTACTGTCTCTGAATAATTTAGGTCCTTGGAAAAAGAGAACTCTTTTTCAATGTGGAATCGTGAGTCAGTGTATTGCTTATACCTCCAATACAAATGAGCACTATCTAACTAATGTTCTCCTCAAGATAAATGTCAAGGTGACGATGATCTCTTTGACTCAGTTACAATTTTTGTTTTTACTTTTATTGTTTATGATATTTAACCATCTTAAGTTTCTGATGTTTTCTGTATAGTTTGGTGGGCTGAACTCTCTGTTAACTATGGATTGCTCACGAGTAACAACAATTCCGACCATCGTTATTGGAATGGATGTGTGTCATGGTTCTACTGGATCTAATGTACCATCCATTGCCGCGGTAACTTTTTTCATGAATCTTTTTTTTTACATGTAAGCTACTTGGGAATTATGATTCTCTTTTTAAATATATGCTGAATGGGCATAGGTTGTGAGCTCGACAGGATCGCCAGGGATGTCAAAATACAGGGCTTTTGTGCGTACACAGTCACCTAGACTCGAAATGATTGCTAATCTCTTTGACCCCGTCCATGGTAGTAACGATGATCATGGTATTATGAGGTACTAATGAATATTTTGCAAGTGAATGATAAAGATTTTCTTTGAGGTAGATTTGTGAAATTGGAGTGTGATCACAAGACTCAAATGATGTTTCACAGGGAAATCTTGTCTGGCTATTCGTCAAGTACGAAACCCAAACACATTATCATTTTCAGGTAAGCAAATATACAATCTAGAGATCTTGCCATAGTAATTTACTATTATTTCTTTTGTTAAACTCAAAGTGCAATAATAATGAATGCAGGGATGGTGTGAGTGAATCTCAGTTTGCCCAAGTTCTTACTATTGAACTGGAACAGATCAGGAAAGTAAGGATTTTATGGTTACATGTAAATTCTTAATATTAAGCAAGTCTATGTTTAACATTTCAGTCTTTTGGTTACATGTGTTAGGCGTGCAAGCTCTGGGATGAGAATTGGTCTCCCAAGTTTACAGTGATCATATCTGTGAAAAGACACCACACCAGGTTCTTTCAGAGCAGAAGCCGTGATAAGAATGTTCCTCCAGGTAAAACATTACAACCCTTTTTCATTACCTCCTGATTGTGTTGTGTTCCATTTGACATGACCTGAAACCTCTTTATTTCATGTATCATTTACCTTCAGGAACAATTGTTGACAGCGGGATCTGCAGCCCTTACAGAAACAATTTTTATCTTTGTGCTCATACTGGAATGCTTGTAAGTGAAGAAACTCTTGTGCTCAAAATGAATCCGTTTGTGAATCTAACAAAAACATTAAAACGTTTTATGCGGTTTTCATTGTGTAAAGGGAACTTCAAGGCCAATACATTACCATGTGCTCTATGATGACATTGGATTTACTACAGATGAACTCCAAAAACTTGTTCATTCTTTATCCTATGCGTAAGCATCACATCACCTTTTTTAAGTTTTGTGTATATACATTTTAATGTATTGAAATTAGACAATAAAATCTTGAAAATGTTTGGTTGTGTAGCTACCAGCGGAGCACATCTGCCATCTCTCAAGGTAAGATGGAAAGCTTGTTTTCTGTGAGATTTAGAGTTTTTTCAAAGTATTAAGTAATGCATAATAATAACACATCTAACATTCCTTTTTTTTTTTTTTTGCAGTTGCGCCAGTAATGTATGCTCACTTGGCAGCTGCACAGATGGCAACTGCGATGTCGTTTGAGGACAACTCCGAGACTTCATCGAGCCATGGTGGGGCCACAACATCTGAACAAGTACCTGTCCCTGTCATGCCGAAGCTGCATTCGAATGTTGCTAAGTCAATGTTCTTCTGCTGAAGCATATATAACTATTTGACTCCAAGATCCTTTCCTACCTATATCGATGTTATGGTTTTCGTTTTAACATATTTAGCATCTTGACTCTGCCTTTGTTGGCGTTTGGTTCATCTATATATGTTTTAATAAATTTGCTATCTAAACCTTGAGTCTGCATTTTATCATATGAAAATAATTATTCTACCAAATTTTTAAGTTTGTCACTTTCTTGAACAACTTTACAAAATTGACACAAAAACTGATTAGTGAAACCTAAAAAAGCTGTTATGAAAAGTCAATTTTATAAAAAAACAACGAAATATTTTGATTTAATATTCCAAAAGTTTAAGTATTTTCAAAACAAATCTTACTTTTAAGAGTTCGTAATATTGCATTTTAGTGACTGTATGAGTTGCTACATGAACCTGAGTGATGTTATAACCCCGACAATATAAAATAACTTTGATAAAATGTGTAAAATGAAATGAAACTAAACCAAATCCAAACCAACATTGCAGGAAACCAAACTGATCTAAACCGAATATTGTCCATAAGACCAAGAAAACCAAAACACAATAAGCAAGATTGTCCACCCTTAATTGCAATATTAGAAGCATACCTGCAAGGTTCTCAGCAGTAATTTAAGGCAAGCGCTATTAGTTCTGTAGCTTTATATCTGGCAGCCAATGCTAAGATCTTGGCAACGGACTTTACTGATACGCCTTTGCAGATGTGAGATTACTATTCAGGCCATACTTGTCCGCAGCTGCTAAAAGATTTACAATCAACGTCTCCTATATATCAGACAGCTTCAAGAGAGGTCAAATGTATGAGATGTCACAGGCTCCACATCTTCCGGAAGAGTATCTTTACACATAAACTGTAGCAAAGCCTGAAAAAAAACACAGAGCATAAACACTGGCATGATTTGAACAACAGCAACAAGTAAAGAAAAACAACCAACGATGTACCTTACAAACCTTAGGCTCCAGGCCGTTGATCGTAACCTACTGTCTGCTTCAACCTCATTGAAAGGCAGAGAAACTACAAAGAAGCATTTGGTTGTTGGTTGCTTCCGGTTTGTTTTCTTCGTTTTTATAATTTTTTAGTTATCTAAGCGGTTCGATTTTGGTTAGTTATTTTGATTTTTGATTTGTTTGGTATAATTTTTAAAACTCAGTTAATATCAATAATATTTTGGTTTCATTTTAGTTCATATATTCAATTGATTTAATAATTTGGATAAAAATCAGATTTTTTTTTTTCGTTTTGAAGATCAAACGTTAAATAATTTTAATAAATTTTAATATTATAATTAAAATAGTCACGTAATTCGATGTTTTTAGTAGTCCAAATAACTTTAAATATGTGGATTTAAACTATTTTTTATAATTAAATTTATAATTAGTATTTAAATTTTAAAATACATATAATAAATAATTTTAAAGTATATAAATTGTATTGACAATTGAGATATGTAGGTATTCATTTTCGGTTCGATTTTGATATTTCAGTGTTGTACAAATATAAAAACCGATGGAAACACGAGTTTTGGTTTTTGGTTTAAATCTAAGCTCTCAATGGTTTAATGTCTAATCCAATTGCGAAACAAACCCTCAACTTTGCGCTCTTTAATTGGCTGTTGACTTCTCAGTCAAACAGTGAAGCAGAAATGTTGTGGCGGCGCGACAGAGAGAGACGGAGATGATATACCGACGAAGAAAGCTCTCAGGCTTGTTCTCGGCGTCTCCGAGCGTCTGCCTCCGGTTTTGTCGTATCGCTGCTTAGGAAAGTGTTGGCCGAAGATATTCAAGGTGAATGCCCCCACGATTCTTTCGTGACGTCATTGAAAGCTAGCGACTTTTGGCTAATAACTGTTTAGTTATCTTTTGATCTAATGTCTTCTCTTAAGAGTACGAGCGAGGTTGAATGTGCTAAAGACTGAGACTTTGAACATACGCTTGAACCACATATTACTCTATCTTAAACTATAATATATATACTGTCTCAGCTGGGGCTGGACCTGATCTAATGTGTATGCTTACTGTTATAAACTCTCTTGATTGTTCTGTTACAAACCTGGATGAGTTGAGTTTACATGTTTGAACATACATATAGGTTTTTTTTTTTTTTTTTCGCCTTTTAAATAAAAGAAAGTGCATCTAGATACATCTCTCCAGTTCGTTATTCTGGTGAGATCACTTATTCGATGCCATAGTTACACGCAACGGAATATTGCTCCTTTTCATAGTGAGACAAGGGAAGCAATATTGATCCTTGTCATAGTGAGAGACAAGGAAGCACACAAGTGCTTTTTGCTACATCTTTTAGCTTAGATATCTATATATCTCATTAAATACTCAAAACCCTTTCCTGATAGTTTCTTTTTTCTTCCTTTACTTCAGAGGACTCTGATGGCATTTGTTCTGCTTCGATTAGTTCAAATTTACTCACATAACTTATTCATCCATTTTATAATGACCCTTTCTGATCTTCTTGTGCTAGTGCAGTGGGCTCAGGGCTGTATCAGTGATTGATTCCTCGTCTGAAAAACTGGGAGGAGCCAAGGTAGTTTCAACAACTGTTGTCTCCCCGATGAAGTTGAAAGAACTAAAGACATTATTCAGAAGTGGAGCGATGTTGACGAAATAGACCTCATTCTTATATATAAACATCTAGTTACGTAAACCAGGGGTGATATACTGGCTTCACTCCAAGAGATGTAACACCAAACGCAGTAGCCTAGTGTATGGAAGCGCTTTTACCAGCATTGAAGCACGCTCTGAAGCAGATCAAAGGAGACAAGAGAGAGAGAAACATCCAAAGCACATCCCTCATGCAGAAGCCACTGCACCTGCTGATACATTGGACAAAAGCTACAAGTCTCGGCCTATGAGGGAGCAAACGAGACAAAAGATGCTGGCTGTTCTTGTACTCACTGAAACTTACCAGATTCTCCGCTCAGAGAACCAGGGGCCCCAAGTGAGTGTAAAAACTTTTCAGAATGTTTTTGGTTTACTGAGTTACATGAAACCCAACTACGTATGGTGCAAAAGGCATTAATGTAACTTGTAATAAAGACTACTTCGTGTAAAAATGTTTCTCGACAAAAATAAAATTATGTTACTATTTTTGTTTATGTCCATTTTTAATTATCTTTTAGTTATAACAATAACTGAATTAAAATAGGTAAAACCTGAGATTAGTGTCCGAAACTAAATTTAAATAGTTGTGTTTGTGTGTGAGAGTCTCCTCCTTCCCCGGCGGACACTGAACAGAAATAATAGGAGCAAGTTTGAAAGGGAAGACTATAAGAATGGGTCAGCGCGCTCTTCAGAGAGTCCCGCCGCCGTCGCTTCCAAGCCGCCCTCCTTCTCTTCCACCATCGTCTTCCTCTTCTCCCTCCCTCCATTGTGCCCCCTCCTCTCGCCGCCCCCTCCGTCCCAGGTTGTTTCTTCTCTTGATGTTTCCTTGTATTATCTGTTACATTCTAATCATGTTGTCACTGACCAAACAGAGCAATGTCATCCCACATTGTCGGTTATCCTCGTATCGGTCCCAAGAGAGAGCTTAAGTTTGCTTTGGAGTCCTTCTGGGATGGGAAAACAAGTGTTGATGATTTGCAGAACGTTGCTGCTAACCTGAGACGCTCCATATGGAAATACATGGCTAATGTAGGGATCAAATATATTCCCAGCAACACTTTTTCATACTATGATCAGATGTTGGATACAACAGCGATGCTTGGTGCTGTTCCCTCTAGGTATGGTTGGGAAAGTGGTGAGGTTGGGTTCGATGTTTACTTCTCCATGGCTAGAGGAAATGCTTCTGTTCCTGCTATGGAAATGACCAAGTGGTTTGATACAAACTAGTAAGTAGATGAATCCTCTTTTTTCTTCTTCTCACATGTTTGTAAAGAAAAGATTATTTTCTCAGTTGTAATGATAGTTAAATGCCTTAACAGCCATTACATTGTTCCTGAGTTGGGTCCTCATGTTAAATTCTCATATGCATCTCACAAGGCTGTGGAGGAGTTTAAGGAAGCTAAAGCAGTAAGTTGGCTAGAACCTTTCTCACTTGAAAAGCTTTTAGTTGACCTGTTACTTTACTTTTGATAGAACATTCATGGTTCTTATTCACAACTGTGATTACTGTTCATGGCACAGCTTGGCATAGATACAGTTCCTGTGCTCATTGGTCCCATGACCTACTTGCTCCTCTCAAAACCAGCTAAGGATGTTGATAAATCTTTCTGCCTTCTTTCTCTGATTGACAAGATTCTTCCCGTCTACAAGTAAGACTGTTATTAAGGTCTAGACATTACCAAGAAGAATTTTTGCTCAAGAGACGTTAAATGATTCATGTGGCATTTGTTTTGTCAGAGAAGTTCTGGCTGATCTAAAGTCTGCTGGTGCACGATGGATTCAGTTCGACGAGCCTATACTTGTGATGGATCTTGACAGCAACCAATTGCAGGCGTTTTCTGATGCTTACTCTCACATGGAGTCATCTTTGGCGGGGTTGAATGTTCTTGTCGCCACATACTTTGCAGATGTTCCTGCTGAAGCGTACAAGGCATTAACTTCGTTGAAGTGTGTAACTGGGTTTGGATTTGACCTCGTTCGTGGATTGGAAACTCTTGATTTGATCAAAGTGGATTTTCCTCGTGGGAAGCTATTATTTGCTGGAGTTGTTGATGGAAGGAACATTTGGGCCAATGATCTTTCTGCTTCACTCAAAACACTACAGACTCTTGAAGACATTGTTGGGAAAGGTATCAGTAAACAACCTATTATTCGATTGTTAGCCTCAGAATGATGTAAATCTTTGTATTTTCTCTGCAGAAAAAGTTGTGGTTTCTACTTCGTGCTCTCTACTACATACGGCTGTAGACTTAGTGAATGAAATTAAACTTGATAAAGAACTAAAATCATGGCTTGCATTTGCTGCACAAAAGGTTGTTGAAGTGAATGCACTTGCCAGATCATTCTCTGGTATTAAGGATGAGGTAGGGTACATATTTCCTTATTACATTATGCACATCCTTTGAGGACTCTTATCTTGATACAGAAGTAGTTAACCTTCAGCTTTGTATTGTCTTGGTCCCTTTGTAGGCACTATTTGCTTCTAATTCCATGCGACAAGCTTCTAGAAGATCATCTCCAAGGGTGACAAATGCCACTATAAAACATAATGTAAGGGGTTTTCTAACAAATTTCTCTTTTAAATTTTGTTACCTGGACTTGTATCTTTAGTTACATTCATACTCAGGTTGCTGCAGTAATGAAATCTGATCACCGCCGTTCTGCAAAAGTAAATGTCAGGCTACAAGCCCAGCAGAAGAAGCTAAACCTTCCTGCTCTTCCAACAACTACAATTGGATCTTTTCCTCAGACCACGGAACTCAGACGGATACGCAGGGAATTCAAGGCCAGAAAGTAGGCCTATACATTCCTATGATGTATCTGAAAATTTGTAACATGCCCTTATTCTAATACTCATGCATCCGCTGCATTTGCAGGATATCAGAAATTGACTATGTCCAGGCTATCAAAGTCGAATTTGAAAAGGTTGTCAAACTTCAGGAAGAGCTTGGCATTGATGTATTGGTGCATGGGGAGGCAGAGGTGGAAATATACTGAAACCCTAGGCTGATTATTCGAACTATTCCATTCTTTTCTTTCTTGATAGACCGTAGTCCTGCAGAGAAACGATATGGTGGAGTATTTTGGTGAGCAGCTGTCTGGCTTTGCATTCACATCGAATGGGTGGGTCCAATCATATGGATCCCGCTGTGTCAAGCCACCTATCATCTACGGTGATGTCAGCCGACCAAAAGCAATGACTGTCTTCTGGTCGTCAATGGCACAGAAGATGACACAACGTCCTATGAAAGGGATGCTCACTGGTCCTGTTACAATTCTCAATTGGTCCTTTGTTAGAAATGACCAGCCTAGGTGTGTGACAACCAAGCCTGTCAACTTCTCTTTCACTCTATATGATGTTCCATCTCACTGTTACTGTTGTTTATAGGTATGAGACGTGTTTCCAAATTGCACTTGCCATTAAAGATGAGGTAAAAGACCTTGAGAAGGCTGGTATCACTGTTATTCAGATTGATGAAGCTGCTTTAAGAGAAGGATTACCTCTCAGGAGGTCCGAGCAAGAACTTTACCTTGACTGGGCCGTCCACGCATTCAGAATCACAAACTGTGATGTACTAAATACTACTCAGGTCATCTTCATCTCACTAAACTACTTTATACTACTATGTTAAGTGTCATTTGGTTTATTCATGTTCTCCTTGTACTTCATGCAGATTCACACCCACATGTGTTACTCAAATTTTAACGACATTATCAACTCAATTATAAACATGGACGCTGATGTGATCACTATTGAAAACTCACGGTCAGATGAGAAACTCTTATCAGTCTTCCACGAAGGAGTGAAATATAGTGCTGGAATCGGTCCAGGTGTTTATGACATTCACTCTCCTCGTATCCCATCCGCTGAAGAAATAGCTGAGCGTATCAACAAGATGCTTGCAGTTCTGGACAGCAAAGTCCTTTGGGTGAACCCTGACTGTGGCCTAAAGACTCGGAATTACTCTGAAGTTAAATCTGCACTTAGCAACATGGTTGATGCTGCCAAACTAATCCGCTCTCAGCTAAATAAGTCATAAAGCCTTTCATCAAGTAAGTTTGCTCATACTACCCACTTTCTTCTCTCTCTCTCTGAATCCCTTATTTATATCATTGCTTGGAATGAACCTGTAATGATCGTTCTGGCACTGGAATTATGGTAAAACTAATTTGAAATCTATAAAATGGAGTTTTTCTTATATTCTCGTTACACAATTTTAAACAGACAAGTAGAATGGAATTATCAAATATTATTTATTTTCTTCATGAGCAAACATATACATTATGAGCAGCAAATGTGTAAGGGTCACTCATTCCTCTGAGTTCCATACAAGGGATGAACGTACTGCATTTCTAGCATAGAGTAGGATTAGCAGAACCAATGCAATTGAAGCAGCCAAATTGCAAAGTAACTGTCTTTTGCTCTTAGCTTCCTTTATCACATTTCCAGTTGCCTCTTTGTACTTCTCGAATAACTTCGCTCCAACTTTTTCCTTTTCCTCATCTTTGGAACTCAAATGTCCTTTAGGATCTGCTTTTTGCTCTGCATCATGTTTCAGCTCTTCGGCTTTACCATCGCTAGGCTTCTCGACCGTTGTTGGCTTAGAACCCTGGCCTTGTTTGGCCTCATGTTGATCATGTGGTTTCACAGGTGATAGTGGCTTAGTTTGAGAACTTTCTGTCTTGGCACCGTTCGGCTTCTCGGCCATTCTTGCTTTAGAAACCTGGCCTTGTTTTGCCTCATGCTGATCATGTTGGTTCGTGACCACCGGTGGTGGTGGTGGCTTAGTCTGAGGGCTTTCTGTCTTGATTTTTGAATGTCGGATGTATAGTTTGCTATCCTTGAACATAGCTGAAACCGAGTCAATATCAACGGTCATAGGAACGGGAACTTCGTGGCGGAAACGAATCCATTTGTTTCCACCAGTTGGACGTTCTCCTGATAGTCTTAGCTTCCTTGTTGTGGTTACCGCCAACTTAATTTGTTCTTTCTTGAATCCTAGTCACAGAAGACAATGCATTATGAGCTTTTCTTGATTCTTACCAAACTATTTATCTCTCTGTCTTTCTGTTTAATGTAGAGAAATGAATAAACAAGATAGAGAAGAAGAAAAAGAACCTGGAAGATCAACGACAAGGATCTCAGCGTCTGGTTCAGAGGTCCATCTAGCTGCAGGCTCAAATTCTTGGTAAATTCTAGTTGCAGCCATTCTCTCTCACTCTCTTTGTTTTTATCTTTGGTTTATAAAAGTAATGTTTTTGTGGTGTGAGAAAGCAGAGAAACATATTAGGTGATTTTATAGGCAAAGAAGATTATTAGACAGCAAAGATTTTGTTTGATTTGGTTTTAGTTTGAAGAAACGAAGGCTTAGTTCTTTGGGTTTTCTTTGTCTTGAAGATTTTAATGATTCTTTGGATTGAGTTTAATGTGAAGCATACCTTTTATTTTGTTATATTCATATTTCTTTTATTCTTATGTACGTAAGAGAATAATATTTTCTTATACAGCAACGTTGCATGAAGATGAATCCAAACACCAAAACCACCATTGTCTGGATTGTCTTCCTAAAAAAATAAAAATATGCCAAAAAAAAGTAGTAGAGGTTTTCTAAGTTGCAGCTTATTACAAAAACCGGTTTATCACATAATCCCAAACATTTTTATGCAAACATAACACACTGTTGCAAGCACTTAAAATAAACAGAGCAGTTGCATATTCACAACAGAAACACAAATGTTCACAGAGCTATCAAATGTTCTTCCTCTGCTTGATTTTCCAGTCCAAGTATTTCTCAACAACATCAAGTCCACAAAGCTCTTTCACAACAGGCATTGTTGCTGGAACAGGCAAATCAAAGCTCAGATCAACCCCTTGTTGGTTATCACTCCATGTCTGAATCTGTTTATTTGCTTCTTTAACAGCTGCTCGGACCGCACAGTGAACAGAAGATGCTAAAAGCAATGGCGGTTCACCCGAAGCTGTATCAAACCCCAAAACAAAAGTTTAAACACAAAGACTTTCAACCAATAAAGTAAATGGATATAAGTAAGTAAGTCATACCTTTGGATGAAAGAACACGGTTCTTATGGTGTCCACTGTTGAGAATCTCAACATTAAACTGTCTTGGAATTGTGTCGACCGTTGGGATCTTGTAAGTCCATGTGCTGTCTGTTACTATGAGACCATCTGAGTTCATTAGGTACTCTTCAAGCATAAAGAAACCAAGTCCTTGAACAAATGCTCCTTCAATCTGCAAAATTTACAATTTAACAATTACAAATCAAGACCAAGAGAACCAGAACAGATACATACACACATAGAGTGAGTTTAAACCTGTCCTAAATCCACAGCAGGGTTGAGACTTTTCCCACAATCATAGATGATATCCGTGCGCAGGATCGTTGTTTCACCAGTCAAAATGTTTACTTCAACCTGTTGATTACAACCAGGCAAATGTAACATTGTTTCACAAACTATAAATAAAGCTAAGAGGAGCTTTACCTCACTCGCTGCAACTCCATAGTTAAGGTACTGAGTATTGTAGAAATCTGGTGAGTATGTGTTACTAACAGACATGTTCACCGATTGCATATAAGCCTACACAAGACCATTCAAGAACAAGACTGTTTCATAAGCCCACTCATAATAACCAGAGAACACCAAAAGTTACAAGAGTAAGAACCTGACTGATGAGGCTATCCCAAGTCACAGGTCCTCCTGTTTTCTCAACCAAAGCAGTCTTGACAGGTAACAGCCTTTCAACTAAGCCATCACAGCAAATCCTAACCGCTTCACTACTAGCCTCAGAGCTTGTGCTACCACCAGTTACTGAGCCTTGTACCAAACTCAACGTGTCTGCTTGGATGACACGGATCTTCTCAAGAAGCTCATCGCTTGTAGTACTACACTGGATCAGTCCAAGTGAGAATGCAGCCATCTGTTTCACCTTTGTCCATAGCCCTTGTCCTATCTCAATCCCTGGAACCTCAACCACTACTGAACCATCGCTCAAAACACTTACTCTCCCTGGTGTTAACCTCGAAGACACTCCATAAACTGCAGGCACACGTGAGATCCCTCTCTTTCTCCATTTGCTTGATGCATTAAACATATCAACCACCTTCCTCCTCTGGCTAAACCCAGAGAACTCTTCTAGCTTCTCCCAAAGCTGTGGTAACGTGTACTCAGTGGACTCACCAGCTTTCTTATCATAAAACAGCTTTAAGCTCTCATACGCATGGAGATTAACCTTCCTGACTTCATCTACATCAATAGAAAGATATGAAGCTACTTTCTCAATGATGGCTTCAGCTATATAAGTTCCTTGTACATCCCCAGGAGCTCTGACAGCTGTTCTGCTCACAGTGTTTGTTTTGCATACTTTCACATCATAAGAGAGAGCACCCCAGTCATACTTCATCAATGCTCCTTGGATCCCTGATGGCATAAGAGGGCTTATATCTTCACTCATCCCTGCATCAAGTAGCAGCTCTAAGTCTAGAGCAGTAACCTTCCCATTGGATTTGAATCCAACACTGTATGTGATTTTCATTGGATGTCTTCCTCCAGTTGTTATCATATCTGTTTTCCTGGTCACATATGTCCTCACTGGTCGCTGCATTTTGGTTGCTGCAAGTGCACAAGCTGCAGCAACCTATAACATCAAAGAGACGTGTTACATTAAACATCAAATATACTCAAGTCCACCTGAGAGTAGGAACTTACAGGCATTGACTTCATGACTTTCCCACCGAAGCCACCTCCAACTCGTCTAGTAATGACACGGACATTATTCTCAGGAACACCAAGAGCTCCAGCGATGGTTCTGTGTACATACTCAGGGGCTTGAGTGGAGCTATAAACCAACATACAGTTGTCTTCATCAGGCACTGCAAGAGCTGTTTGTGTCTCCATATAGAAGAAGTACTGTGAACCCAAACTTATCTACACATCAATCACAAAGATTAATATTAGGATCAGACAAGAAAAGGGCTTGAGAGAGAGGAAAGGAAATAAAACTACCTTTGAACCAAGAATCTTATGTTCAGCTTCAGACATCCCCTTGGTGATATCACCAACCGGTTTACCCTTCAGAAATGGAGGGATCTCGAAAAAACTAGACTTCTCAACAGCTTCTTCTACGGACAGTATTGGCGGTTCTAAACCCTCAGTGTCATAATCAATCACAACAAGATTTACTTCAATATCTGCAAGCTTTTGACTATCTGCAACCTGCACATAACACAAGTTGAATCTAATCTAACTAGTTTCTTCTTCATATAAGCATTCTTAAGAGGGACAATGTAACCCTTTCACAAGACTTACCAAGAAGGCGATGACCTCACCAGCACAATGAGTGATCTCTTCTGCAAACAAAAGGGCAGAAGTAAAGAAACCTTTGGTACCAACATTTTGTCCACCTTTGGGAATATCTTTGTAAGTTATAATGCCAAGAACTCCCTCTGGTACTCTGTTCTCCTTGAACCTTATACTCTTGATCCTTGCCAACGGCATTGTACTGTAGATAAATGCACCGTATAAACAATCTTTCGGCGAAGGAATGTCGTCTACATACACAGCCTCACCTGTAACAGAGAATCAACTTTAGCCATTTTCAGCTAGAAAGTGGTTAAAGAGTATCATGACCAAAATCTTAAGAACGGTCCTGAAGAGTATGTATAGAACTCACCAGATGCTTGAAGCTTAGCTCCAGCCTTTACAATGCCTTTACCGACCGGACTATGTTCTTGAGTTTCAACTATCTGTTGTGCAGATGACAACATAGCTTCACGTTTCAAAGATTCAAAACCATTCTCTTTACATCCGTTGAGCAAACCATTTGTAGTTAAAGATCCAAAGAACTCAAAGAGGAAAGTAACAGCCAAGCTTGATTTATAGCCAGGATTCAAAGTACCCTTATCAGGTACTATCTCATCTTTAAGTAAGCCAATAGCTTCCATCAAAACCTCATCAGAGATAACTTTTCCCACAAGGTAGTCTTCTACTTTCCTCGCCCTGTGTGCATGTTTGGTTCCATAAGCACCAAACGCTAACAAGCAATCATTAACAACAACACCATCACGTGATTCATTCAAAGAAACTTCAGCTGAGAAAGCTGCATTGAGAAACGCCAATGCGTTTCCTAGAGGACGTGGAGCTGCTCTGTAAGTTTCAAAGAGGAGATGAGTATCTGAAGAAGAAGAACCGTTCTTCAATGGTCTCCAAGATGGAATCATTAGACTCACAAGAAGAGACTTGGCTTCAAGAGGAGGCTGTTGGAGAAACTCTTCTAGTGTAAACTGTTCTTGAACATTGGAGCTTATCCTCATGATCTTCACTGTGGCTCTAGCAGCAACAAGTATGGTTGTGAGATCTGAAGGAAACTGTTTCCTCTGTGCAATCATGATGTTTCCACCTAATGTTCCAGTGTTCCTAACGAATCTAGTTGCTATTTTCTCCATGTGAGTAGCCATTTTCGCCAACATAGAGACACTTTCTTTCTCTCTTAGAACCTCAATAGCTTTTGAGATGGTAACAGCAGCTCCTAGCTCAACTCCTTTCTCATCTCTTCTTACCACACTGAGCTCAGGAAGCCGCCTTATATCGATAAATCTTTCATACTTCTTCTCTTTCTCTTCTTTGTAATAACCAGTGCTTGTGTTACCAGCAACTAACTTAACAGACACACCATTGTCTACCTGTAATAAACCTTGAAGCTCTGAGATACTTCCAGGGCTTGACCATCTGTACTTTCTTGAATCATCAACACTCATATCCATCTTGACCTCCTTCTTCAAGAACTCTGGAAACGTGGAGGACAAGGTATGATCATAACAAGGCAACTTCTTCAAAACATCATCTCTGTTCTCTCCCTTCTTGCAAAAGGAGTTGAATCCAAGATCTTCAATATCAACATCTTTTGCAAAGCTCTTACAAGCGTCCACGAGGGGTCTGTATCCAGTACACCTGCATAGGTTACCTGACACAGCCTTCTCTGCTTCAGCAGCAGTTAGGTTTGAGGAGCCGTTGCTGGGAGGGTCATGAGAAGACTTGTCAGCGTTCAAGAGAGCAGAGTACATGGAAACGGTCATGCCAGGTGTGCAGAAACCGCATTGTGTAGCGTGGAAACCTGCGATGCGTTCGTGGATGGCGTGGAACCCTGCTCTGCTGTTGCCTAGGCCTTCTGAGGTGGTGATGGAGCAGCCGTCGATGCTGCAGAGGAGTGTGAGACATGAGCTGACTGTGTAGTCATCGACTTTGTCGAGGAGTGGATCGTACTTTGAGAGAAGAACAACACAAGCGCCGCAACCACCTACGTCCAGAGAAGATAGGTTAGTTAAGAAGAACACAAATGCCGAACGCAAAAGAGACTTGAAAGAGATTATAATTTCTCATAATAGATTGCTTGCGTTACAAACTATTAGGTACGTAGTCACTTTTTTTTTTTTCTTTTTTTTTTTTTTTTTTGACAAAGGGCTTTACGTAGTCTCTCTTTGCTATATAGAAACACAACCTTTTAGGGTAAATTAATAAAAGAGACCATAATTCTAAACACAAACCATGGATTCAAATCTGTATTTATATTAATTTGTTGTGGGGTTTAAATATAATGTAAATCACGGCCATAAAAGTTTAAAGTCCTTAATGTTATTCAGTTAATTTTTTTTTTTTAACACATTCAGTTAAAAGCTTTATTTCATTATATTAAAAGAAAGTGTTGTTTTTTATTTGAAAGCAAAATAAAGGTGTTGTTTAATATTTAAATATTTGTAAATGTTTGTATCTAGATAGATTAAAGAGCAATTCTCTCAAATAGACATTTTTAAGGTTTTATTACAAAATATACCTAAAAAATTGAAATGATCAAAATAACAGTTTTTATTTTAAAATTTTTTTTTTTTTTAATTTGAAAACCTACCTCAAAACTACACTACTCAACTCTAAACAAAAAATATTTATTTACTTATTTTGATAAAAAAAATATTTCTGTTTTGGTCATTTTTATTTTAAATTCTATATTTGTGACAAAAATAATTTTAGGTTAAATATGAATAGATCAAATATGAATTCCTACTGGATTTTTTATCTGTAAAAAATGAATTGTATTTTTCTAACAAAAACGAAAACTAATAGTACATTCAAATGATCCCATGATTTTTATCCACATATAAATTCACACGACGTTATTTGATAAGTGATTATTAAAGATAAATTCTAATATGTAAATCAAAATCTCCTTGTTGATTGGAAAAGGTGACGCCAAAATCAAATACAAATTTGGCATTCGCAGTTTATACTTTGCATGATTACTTTTACGAGCAAAACTTTTTAAGAAAATATCAAAATAAATATAAATATATTTATTATTTGTGGACTTGCAAAGTTGCAATAGCCATTTGTCTGTTTGCTTCTGTTGAGTTTTTAATATATAAACTATGATTTTTTTAAAGGAATATAGTATATCAAATGATTTTTATCCACACATAAAAATTGACAGGACCTTACTTGATAACGGATTATTAAATCCGATCTGTAAATCAAAACCTGATTGAATATGTAACGCCAAATCAAAATTTAAACTTTGCGTAAACACTTGCTATTATTTGTGGACTTGCAAATTGCAATAGCCGTTTATCTGTTTTATTTTGTCGTTTTTTTAATCGAAATCCTAATCAGAGTCTTAAATTAGAGTCCTCTAGAATCTGAATACCCTTTAAGAACAAAACAAAAAAAAAAAAATCGAATTTAGAGAAGATAATCAGTCAAATCTTACAGTTTCCACTATTTATTTAGTTTAATCTCTGAAGCAATCGGACTTAAGAACACAAAAACATCCATAAGAGCTTGAGCTCGTATTTGTCCAAAAAAAAAAAAGAGAAAAGAGCTTGAGCTCGTACAGTTTGCAAGATTTAATCAGTTTTTTGTAATTATTGAATCTAAAACTCTTTTTTTTAACTCATGAACAAGAAGATAGAGAGTAAACTTTGATTAATTGTAGGAAAAGAATCAGTCTAATCTTATAATTAGTTTTCAAAACCAAATCAGAAAAGACTCTTTTGTTAAACTTTGATGATTGTATGATGTATCAACCTACCTTCACCACAACCAAGCTTGACGCTCTTGAAAGGAGTCTTGTTACGCAAGAAATCTATGAGGGTGGTAGAAGGATCAACAGAAGAGAGATCGAGATCGAATCTTTCTCCATTAACGGCGAAGACAAGAGAGGTCTTCTTGATCTTCATCGCTTCTTCTTTCTCTTCAGTCACTTTTTTCTCACCCATTTATTGTTTATCTCTGTGTTGTAGAGTCCTTGCTGCAAACCAAGATTTAGTTCGACCACGATATATATTCTCGTAACCTTGACTTTAGCTTGCGCAATGAGTAAGTGACAGAGAGTTTTTTAGTATTTTTCTGCAGTCTATGTTGAAGAATAATACGTGCAACTTTGCTCTCTGAAATCTCAACGGCTCTTTCTCTCTCTGCGATAAAAAAGGGGATTAGGTTTTTCTTACCTAACTCCGCCGTCGGTGGGCACCACGCTCTCCGGCGAGAACTCTTTGCCTCTCCTTGGTCTTCTTGCTGTATTCTCCTCTCCTCCTCATGTCTCGATGCTCCCAAAGAAGAAGAAACCCCGTCCACCTCTTGCTCTGTCTTTCAAGGTCCATGGCCTGATGCGGTCTGTTGGGCTGTCTTCTATGGCTAAGAAGAAGAATAGGTCTCTCTCTCTCGCCGACCACTCTGGCCTCGGCGTAGTTGCATCTGGATCTACGATTCCAGCGACAAGTTCTTCCTCTGCTCCTAGTTTCCCTGCGTCTGGTTCTGTTGCTGTTGCAGATTCCAGTTTTTCAATCAATTCTGAGTTGATGTTGAAGGAGGCCCCCCCTTCTACTCCAAATTCCTTTCTTCCTCCACCAGTGGAGGTTTCAAATCCTTGCGGCGGTTCGGCTGTGGTCAAAAGTGATCTCAAATCCACGGATAACTTGGACAGTCCCCGGAACTATGCTGCGTTGTTAAAAAGTTCTGCTCAATTGCAGGAGATGGGAACCCCATCAGAACATGTCTCTGGCGCGCCTTTCGTCTTAATCCCAGACGAAAATATTGAGGCTGCAAAACTGGAGTTCAAAGATTTCATTTACGCTCGCTTTCACGGTGATTATCCTTCAATGGGGAAAATTATCGGCGTCATAAATGCAGTATGGGCTAGAGCTGGTCCACGGATTTTTGTTCATAATATTGGACAAGGAATGTATCTCCTCAGAGTCACAAATCCAAGAACGCGTGAGGTGCTCTTATCCCGCACATGCTGGAATATAGGAGGCTTGCCGATGTTTGTGGCTCCTTGGTCTCCGGAGTATTCACCAAATGAGCCTCCTCTCACAAGTGCTATTGTGCCTGTGGAGTTGCGCAATGTACCCTACTTACTGTTCAATAAAGAAAGCCTGAGTCGTCTTGCCACGGCAGTTGGCAAACCAGAATCTCTAGCCCCTGAAACGGAGCGCAAGGAGAATTTTGAAGTTGCTAAATTGTATGTGCGAGTTGATCTAACGACCCCTCTTCCTCATAGGATTGTCTCTGGTTTCTCGAACGGCAAGGAGGTTCAGATTGATGTTTCTTATCCCTGGTTACCTGTAAAGTGTGATTTGTGCAAGAAATTTGGTCATAAGAAAGAGAGGTGCTCGTACGGTGTTAATGTAGGTTCCTCTACCCAACCGCAAACCAGGAAAACCTCTCCTGAAACATCAAGGAGAAGATCAAAGTCTCGCCCAGGCCGATCCACAGATAAGAAAGTTAAGAAGATGGAAACTCGGTATGTGCCTGTGGTTCATGATAAAGAAGAAGCGTCTGAGCAAAATGCGGATGCTGCGGGTAAGTCCAAACCTCCGGTTGCTTCTGCTTTGGAGGAAGGAGAGATTGACCAGAAAGTCGAGGGACAACTTGGATTAAGAAATCAGGAAGAAGTTCAGAGCTCTAGAGGCACTAAAGTTGTGGTAGCTGAGGATCTTGACCGTAAAGCTGTTCAGAAAGAGCTGGAAGACAAGGGCGAAATTGATGATAGTGAAGCTCAGACTTGTCAAGAGGTTAAGGGTGAAGTTCAGACAGCTATAGTTGAAGAAGTTGATGCTGATACTGCTGAAGCTATTGGTGCTGATACTGCTGTAGTTGTTGATGCTGATACTGCTGTAGCTGAGACTGCTGTAGCTGTTGAAATTGCAGGTGCTGATGAAATTGCAGGTGCTGATGAAATTGCAGGTCCTGCGATTGCTGAAGCTGTGGCTGCAAAGAATGATGAAGTTACCAAGGTTAACTCGCCGGTCTTTACTGATAGAAATGTAGCTGCTGAGCCTGTTGAGGCCGTGAACTCTGAGGAAACTGAAGCAACTAATGTTAATGCCACTGGAAAAGATCAGTATGAGCACTCAGGGACGATCTCTCATTCAGTAGAGGATCTGGATCGAGAGAAACCTTTCTACCTGGTTAAAAACAGGAAGAGTGGCCGCAAGGCCAGGAAACCCCAATAAATTTTTTAGATATGTTTTTTGCGTGGAATGTACGTGGACTGAACAGTGATAGACGCCACTTGATGACCAAAGACTGGATTAATATCCATAGGCCTTTTTTTGGAGCTTTTTTGGAAACTCATATTTTGGAAGTTAATAAAGAGAGAATATTAGGAGCTATTCCAAGGGGATGGAAGTTTTTTGGAAATTATGAAGAAGATGGTTCAGGTCGCATTGTGCTTGTTTGGGATCCTAGAGTAACGATGTTTATCTACAACGCAACTGCTCAATCAGTCACATGTGGGGTTGCAATTCTTTCTGAAAACATTAATCTCACAGTCACTTTTGTTTATGGTTTCAATCAGGTGGAGGATCGGAGGAGTCTCTGGAACAGTTTGGTTGACTTAAACGGTGGTTCTCCGGTCTCTACGCATCCGTGGTCTGTTCTTGGCGACTTTAACCAGATGCTTCGAACTTCCCATCACTCAAATCACTTCTCTACTACGGTGGATGAAGCCGGTATGGATGAAGCTAATCTCGGTTTACAGGATGCTCAGTTGTTTGAAGCTCAAGCTAAAGGTCTTCCTTACACTTGGAGGAATATGCAGGATGATAATCCCATCTCCACAAAGATTGATCATGCCTTCTTTAACCAGGCTTGGTCCTCTGCTTTCCCAGACTCGTATGCAGATTTTTTAGATCCATCTCAGTCGGATCATGCGCCATGTCTCCTCCGGATGCCGTCTATCAGAAGACGGGTTATCAAACCGTTTAAATTCTTTCACCATGTGATTGACCATCCTGAGTATGCGGAGACAGTTAGTAACTCTTGGAATTGTGGCGAGATAGTGGGTACAAATCAGTTCAAGCTGGTCCGTTCTCTTAAGAAATTAAAGCGGCCACTTCGCAGTCTCAACAAACGTCACTTTAGTGGTATTTCCCAAAGAGTCAAAGCGCAAAAAGAAAAGGTAGATGCACTTCAAAGGATCATGCTTACTTCGCCGGTTCAGAGTACTGCCCTTGAGGAGCATTCCGAGAGAGACAAGCTGAATGTCTTGCTAAGGGCTGAAGGAAAATTTTATAGGCAACGGTCCAGAGTACGTTGGGCTGACGTAGGGGACCGTAATACAACGTTCTATCACCAAACCGTCTCTCAGCACGCCTCTCGGAATCACATACACTACTTAAAGGATAGTGAGGACAACACTCTATACTCGTTGGATGCTATAAAGTTGCATGCGGCTGATTACTTCCAACGGATTCTAGGCTCCACGGATCTTCCTCTCACCTCAGCTACGTCTGAAGAGTTGAGGACTCTGCTTCCTTTCCGTTGTTCCGATCTTCAGAGAAACTATTTGAAAAGAGATGTTACAGCTGCTGAGGTTAAAGCTACTTTGTTTGCCATGCCGTTAAATAAGAGCCCGGGTCCAGATGGATATTCAGTTGAGTTTATAAGAGCCTCTTGGGACACGGTGGGTGAGGATATAATTAATGCTGTGAGGGAGTTTTTTAGGAATGGCAAACTACTGAAGGATATGAACACTACAGCTATAGCTTTGATTCCAAAAAAGCCTGAAGCCTGCTCGTTAAGTGACTACAGACCTATCAGCTGTTGTAATGTTGTCTACAAGCTCATCTCCAAGATTATTGCCAACCGCCTGAAGCCTATCCTTACTGAATGTGTTAGTCCCAATCAGGCTGCTTTCCTTAAAGGACGCAGTCTTGGAGAGAACGTCTTGCTTGCAACAGAGCTCATCAAGGATTATAATAAGTCCTCGTGTCATAAAAGTGCTATGCTCAAGATTGATATTCGTAAAGCTTTTGACACTGTGTGTTGGGATTTTGTTATTAAAGTGTTAGAAGCTCAGCAGTTCCCGCCTATGTTCATTACATGGATTACAGAGTGTATTTCCTCTCCAAGATTTTCGGTTGCAATCAATGGCGAGCTTGCAGGCTTCTTTGAGGCTAGGAAGGGTCTCAGACAAGGAGACTCTATATCCCCTTACCTATTCATTATGCTCATGGAGGTTCTGTCTCGCCTATTGGATAAGGCTGAGGTCGATGGCCGTTATAGACTGCATCCTCTCTGCTCTGACCCGAAGCTTACTCACTTATTATTTGCCGATGATCTTTTGGTTTTTTCTGACGGCTCTCGTGCCTCTACGGCTGGTATCAAAAACGTAATGATTCAATTCAAAGGCTGGTCAGGGCTCGATACAAATGAGACGAAATCAGAGATCTTCTATGGAGGTTACTCTGATATTCAAGCTTCTGTTCTCAGTGATTTGTCTGGTTATAAGCGTGGGGAGTTCCCTACCAGGTATCTTGGTTTACCTCTTAGTCCTAAGAGGATTTCTGCAGCGACTTTGCAACCTTTTATTGACCGTATCACCTCTAAGCTACACTCCTGGACAGTCAAGTTTCTGTCCTTTGCCGGTAAGGTTAAGATGATATACTCGGTTATTTATGGTATGGTAAATTTCTGGAGCTCGGTATTTGTCTTACCAAAGTGGTTTTATGCTAAAGTGGATTCCCTCTGCTCTGGTTTTCTATGGAAAAATAGTACAACATCCGCGGCTGGGGCCAGAGTTTCTTGGATAAATATTTGTAAACCTAAAGCTGAGGGGGGTTTAGGGATAAGGCAGCTTGAGGAGTTTGAAATGGTTTTCCGATTAAAAAGGTTGTGGCTGTTCTTTTCTGCGTCGGGGTCATTATGGGTTCCTTGGCTAAGTAACAATAGATTTGGAGGCAGGAGTATTTGGCTTATTAATGATTCGCCTAGGTTCTCAATGACAGTTCGAAGTATGCTTCAGCTGAAGCAAGAACTTCATGACCATCTCCGTTGCAGCATCGGAGATGGAAAAACTGCATTGTTTTGGTATGATTATTGGACGGAGCTGGGTCCACTTCACCTTCTGTTTGGTTCTTCGGGACCTAGGTCTCTTAGAATTCCTCTCAACGCTACGGTCTCACAAGCTGTTAGTAATGGTCACTGGAATCTGCCGGCTGCTCGGTCTGATAACGCAGAAACACTTCAGGTTATATTATCTACATTAAGTGTCCCGTGTGATTCTAATGGTAGTGATGTATACTTGTGGAGAATTCAGTCTGGTGGTTTTGGGGCGAAGTTCTCTTCTCGGGTGACTTGGGAAGCAATTCGCATTCCTACTCCTCCTGTTCACTGGCACTCGGTCGTTTGGTTCAAAGAGGAGATTCCTCGCTGTTCATTTATTTCCTGGACTGCCTTCCTTGGCAGACTTCCAACTAGAGACCGCTTGATCTCTTGGGGATTATCTGTTCCTCCAGGTTGTGTCTTGTGCTCTAATGCTAATGAATCTCATAGTCATTTATTTTTTGAGTGTGTGTTTGCTGCTGCTGCTTGGGATCGTTTTTGTGGCAGGTACATGGCGTCTCCTCCTTCATCATTGGACTCAGTTGTTGCAATGTGCCGGCATTTTCAGGGCCCCCACGCTCCCCGTGCAGTGGTCATCCTGAAGCTTCTCAGTCAAGTCATCATCTATAACCTATGGCGCGAACGCAATTTCCGCATCTTCAGAGGCATCTCTTCGAACCAGGAGGTCTTCTTCAGGACGGTCGACCGTGGGCTACGTGATAGACTTCTTTCTCCTTCTCTTGTGGTGAACTCTTCACCATCTTTGCTTGAGTTGTACTTTTGGTTCCTTTCCCCATTTAG